ATATTCTTGACCTTTTTGCACTTACACGGGATTTAATAACTAAATGACTGTTTGGGGTTACTTTCAGATTAAATATTTATCAGAAATTGTACTTTTTCTTTAAAAAAAAAGATCATATTTAATAGAAAAGTTGTAATCAAACACCAAAAAATATAAATAGGTAACAAATAATTGTTAAAAGGAATGCACATCATTTCATTATAGATATCACAAAAATGTACACACGATCAAACGATCTACAACACGTACATCTTTGACTTAGACACATTTCATCAAGATATTACACTATATAGCTGGCAACTAAAGATTTCCTACAATTTATGCATTCCTTCAAAATATTTACATACCATTCAAATTATTACGAAAGTTGTATGTACATTGTTATTTCATTACACTAGATAGTCTTGGGTTTGTCAACTTCAGGTCTAGATCTAGTAAATAAAAGGTGCCTTCATATTTTCTCTTATTCCAGAAATATATTGTCATTAAGCATTATAAACCAAAAAATATATGAATTGAATCAAGATTATGTTGGCATGATTGAATTCTGTGAATTTCAAAATGCAGTATTTTCTACCATTTTTATTGAAGTTGTCAAGTACGGGAAAAAGTGGCATTGAATTAATTATGACGTCTTAATGGGTTAGCACAGGTTTAACACATTTACAAGTTATGATGTCATACGAAGTAGGTTCTACGTTAAAAGAAATGTAATGAATACTGTGTGCTAAAGCAAAAGTTTATGTTTACATATATACTATATAGTTTAAATGCATTAGAATGACTGTGTATTTTACACTAGCCCATAGCTTTACAGAGCATATTTTTAGGTCTTATACTTACCCCACCCCCTTTCTTATTTAGGAGGAAGTCGATATTGAACAAAAGCAAAAAAAAAAAAACCCTACCTTTATTTTTCTATAAGAAAGGAATTAAAATTAAGCTAAAAATAATCTACTATTCTACTAATTTTTAACTGTTACTTTGCCACAATACTTTCAAGTATACCTCCACCAACATTTAAAGTATGCTTTAATCATGGCGAAGTAAATTATGATATGATAGTACTTGTGTGAAGGCTTAACTTCATTTCAATATTTTATCTAGAGCCTCTTTCAGAATTATTGAAAGGTATAGAGTTTTATTTATATTTTTGCTTTTCATTTATTATTATTTTTTTTGTTTTGATTTAACGTAATGTTCTTTTTTTCGGGGGGGGGGGGGATAATGTTATCTTCCTCTTTCATTGTCAAATAGGATTTGCCAAACTTAAACAAACTAAAAGTTGAAATGACGGAAAATTTAATTTTTCCTATTAAAGAGTATTTAAACCTGATTTTTGCATGGTTTGATTTCTAAAAACAAGTGGAATATCATTCTTTAAGCAAACATTATAAGGAGGAATATTAAAAAGAAATTTTATTTACTTGACAATTCAAGAATCTCTTTTCAAACACAATTTTAGCATTGAAAGACTACGTGAATCTCTTAATTATTTCATACGACTTTTTGTATTTTTCTGGTTACAGAAAATGTAAAAATAAGTTTCGCTGTAAAAAAGATATCAAAGAGTGTATATTTTCTATCACTTTAAAGGGGGTCATTTTTCAATGGGGGTCATTATTTTATAGGACTAACATATAAAATAATGACCCCCTAGGACCCTTTTTCTACAAAAAATGATTTTTTTCTACGGGTGGGGGTCATTTTTTTGTCGTTGAAAAATGACCCCCCGCTCATTATTCGATGGGGGTCATTATTCGTCTTTACACCTGCTCTTATTGAAAACGCTGAGTTCTGAGTCATGTTGTAAGTAATGCCTAATAATTCTGAGCCAGGATAAGCCATGTTGTTAGTTATGCCTAGTAGTTTTCAGATATAATATAGTTAATGCCTAATTATTTTTAGCAATGTTGCATGTAATGCCTAATAGGTTAAGGCATACAGGGCCATGTAGTAAGTAATGTCTAGTAGTTTTCAGCCAGGTTGTCATTAATGCCTTATTGTTCTGAGCCATATTTTAAATAATGCCTTAAGCCTAATAGTTCTTAGCCATGTAGCAAGTAATGCCTAATGTTACTTGGATTTAAAAGACTCACCAAGTTCTATTCCTACAGTCAAACAAAATGTTGCAACAAAAAAATTGAATATAATTTCACAAATAGAAATTTAATGAAAATGTGCAATGGGTCCGACACATTCTTCTTATGTTACACATGAAAAAATTAAGCTGCTGCATTATCTGCACCTAACATTACAAGAGCATCTCAAAACAATCTATTGGATTATTTTGACTGTAGTTTAAAACAAGTTTCAGGCAACCGCAAGTCCTTATTTTGAGAGATATCAATGTTGAATTTTATTATTTGAGTGTAGATCTGCAGCTATTTTGGGAGATTATTTTATTGCAACCTAATTTGTAAGATTTACTGGTTGTTATATTTAATTTCATTTTGTTTTCCACTTGATTTCTGGTACTTAGTTTTGTTAGCCCCCCCCCCCCACCCCGTGGGGATCCGGGTTAGAATAGGTCCTCAGTACGCCTTGCTTGTCGTAAAAGGCGACTAAATGGGGCGGTCCTTCGGATAAGACCGTATAAACCGAGGCCCCGTGTCACAGCAGGTGTGGCACGATAAAGATCCCTCCCTGCTCAAAGGCCGTAAGTGCCGAGCATAGGCCTAAATTTGCAGCCCTTCACCGGCAATGGTGACGTCTCCATATCAGTGAAATATTCTGGAGAGGGACGTTAAACAGTATACAATCAATCAATCAATCAATCCCCCCCCCCTTCTTCTCCTTTAAAATTCTTTTTCAGTCGTTTTATAATTTCCCTCTCTAATCTTGAAAGTCATCTTCGCTAGCCAAGGGTTTCTGATACGCTACTCTCCTCATAAACCCTTGGCCTACGGTGTTCATAGAAATTGGGATTTTTTTCCAGAGTTCTGATTGGATTTTAGTACACCCAGGTCGACCAATCAGCAATTGTTTTTTGTAAATGACGATATTTGCGTTCGGGATACATCTTCACTCTTTAATCTCGGAAATGAAAAACGCAAGTAAACAACGATCCGTAAGATAACATTCAAATCTATGAATAGCCATGGTGTCATCCAATATCTTGAAGCTTCAGATTTCTGGCGATGACGCAATCTGTGCGTACCTGATAGATTCGAGATCACGTGACGGAAAACATTCCCGTCTTTTGACTTCACCGTATGCCAAGGGTTTATGAGGAGAGGAGAGTATCAGAAACCCTTGGCTAGCGAAGATGCTTGAAAGTTAAAATTTCTAAACAAATAGTTATGGAAGCAACATCAAAATCTATGCTGGCAGACATTGCTAATAATTTGGTGTCAATCTACGGTGGAAAAGACAATTCAAGTTATAAATGGATACACATTCAACTAACTAATGCAATAAAAAGGTGATTGATGTACCTGATATACTGGACTGTGAATCTGTTATGATACTTATATTCAATGTCTGGTTTTCCAAACGATTTAAAGATAATTTTCTATGCTTTTCTTTGACTTGTAGTCTTGTATTTGGGTCCATCTCCACGAGAAGCTCCGACCGAGTTTCTTTATTGTTGTTCACATGCATAGGACCTATTCTAGTTTGCATTTGCCGGGTTTCGAAGCAGTATGAAACAAAAAGAAAGTTATTCATGTTAATAACCAACATTACATCATTGTAAAACAATACAAACGTATTAGTAAACGACTTTTAGTATAACCGCGTGCGCGTCGTCTGCTTTGTAAAGTGTTTGAATCCAATCTCATCCGTCATAATTATTGCACATCAATAGTAATAAAAGCGTTAAAATGGTTTAGAACAATGCATAAATGGAAAATTATACGATTTTTTAAAGTAACTAAACAACATTTTATGTATTTTTTTGCAAGCAATTGTTATGCGTCTTTACCTTTGAAAGGTTCAGGAAAAAGGAATGTGAAGAACAAACCCGACCTTTTATATACAACACTTGATGTGTCAACCAAACCCGACCCTTAAAAGCCAACATTCAAATAACAAATACATGGGACCTATAAACTAGTATATATACTTTTCTCGTAAAATAAAGGCATCTATTTTGTATACACAAATAGATGCTATTAAATATGTTATTACTCGAACTAGGGTCTTCTCACAAGAAATACAATTGTGAAATATGAAAGCCCTTGCACCACCTATTCGAAAGTTATGACCATGGTTAAAGTTTTTAAAAGAAGGTCAAACTTCAAGGTCAAAGTTCTTGATATCCAATGAAAGGTCTTGCCACAAAAATTAAATATGTGAAATATGAAAGCCCTAGCCCTAACTCTTCAAAGGTTTTGGTTTTTATTTTTCCTTCATAAAAAATGTTAGCAAAAGTAACGTTCATTTGATTTTCTAAAACTTCACGTAAAAAAGCGTTATTTTGACTTTATCGAAACTGCCACATACACCGTGCGCAAAATCAACGAAATGTTCATAAGAAATGTTTGAAAAATTTTAAGTAATCTTTGAAAAAAAAACTGAAAGTTTTAAAAAGAAACTTTAGTATGAAAAAGTAAAATTCGTTGAGATAGAGATGATATTTATTCATATAAAGTTTCTTAATTAGCAAATATTTACATTCCATGAATTTCTAAGAACAACATTACCGTTTATCATTCGATAAACGACATTCAGCATACATGTATCGCCTGAATAGATTTATCGAATGGTAGCTCTTCCATCAATGAAACTTAGAATAGTAATATATCATTGCACAATGTTTAATCTGCTGAATCCTTCTTTAAAAGATTAATTGTGCAGATGTGGACATGAATAAAAATGTCTTTCTATCCACGTTAGCATTGGAATTAACATTCATTTAATTGCCGTTATTATTTACACAGGTTATCAATTTTTCTGCAACTTCTCATACTATGAACAAAGAAAGCATTTTATTGTTAATCTTTTCATCTATTCCTATTACACTTGCATTGTCTTTTTATCATTAACATTTTTGTTAGGTATGTCATGCAATGTTAGAAAACGAAAATGGCGGGCATCGACCTGGAAGAGTCATTCATGGTGACCAGGGTACTCCAATATGTCATGCTTGCTGTAAGGGATATAGATGTAATGCAGAAGACTGTTTTGAACTCAGAAAGAGTAAGTACAAATTTATTTTTGATGAGACTTCTCCGTTCGCTATTAACATTTTTTGTTGAGGACTGTGTGTAAAAAAATTTTAAAAATTACTTCTCATACAATACAGTACCTGTACTTGTAAAATCAATCGTCTAACTTTTTTACTTACGTCTTGTATTAGTTTCGACGCTGATTTTGTTTTCTTTTTATGAAAGTGAATGTGTTTCTCATTAACTTAAAATGACTGTCTAACGTTAAGTCGTTTGGCTTATATTTTCAAATGAACCAATGTTTTCAAAACGTCCATGATGTTATAAATCTCATAAATTCATACTTAACAATAACAAAGTTGCTTTTTAATGATTTCGGTAAAGATTACCACATGCACTTGCTAACACTGGGAATTAGAATACCTATTACTTTGAACCCTCTTCAAATTCGAACAGTGATCAATGTACAATTGTACTAGTATACAGCATCGCTTTATCTATGATTGTAAAAATAATGTAAAGCTTACATTATAGAATGTCGAACTATCCCTTTTAAATGAATATTGAAATGTTCATATGGAAGCAGCTGCCCTTAACTCCGTGTATAAGAATTAAGATATAAGACGCAACATTTTCTATTTTTGGCGATTCGATATTTTTGAATAAAGCACAATGAATCGAAGAACAGAACATTTCACCCAACCCCCTGTGTGACCAAAATGTTGTGGTCAATTTTGTCATAGGCGTTCCTCATTAATGTTGTAGTTGAAGAAATTATAGTCTAGATATTCTACCCCTCTATACTATGTTGATTTTATAGTATAGAGGGACAGACCTTTGTAGACTAGCATTTCTTCATCTACAAAATTACATGGGGTGCGCCAATGAATTTGTGTCTTTATCTTTAAGATGCATGTCCCTGTTCTTTGTGAAATCATGTGTTTATTGCCTGAAAATTTCAAAAAATCCAATGAAATGAAACAACATGTATAGCCAAACCAAACAATAATTGGGAGATTTTTTAACTGGAACGTCTTCAAAAAACTGTTTTCACTCGTTTTTTTTTGTTTTTTTTTTTTTTTTTTTTTTTTTTTTTTTTTTGTTATATAAAATGAATATGTAGAACAGAATAAGTTTAACACAGTCTTTGATGCCTCAATTCAAACAGAGTTTAAAACTATATCTTATTGTTGATATCCGATTAATTGTAAGAAGTTGCATATCCCTAGAGTACGTATTGTCCATGGCGATACCTCGGTATATAATTAAATCTAGGAGTCACATTTCATGGCTATACATAGACTAGTACGTCCGTGAAAGTAACTCCAGGAACATGTACAGTGTATTCCGTTGAACCTTTTTTCAGTCTTTTACAACGATTCATATTTCGTTTAATAGGAAAGACTCGAGGCAAAAAAAGAACATTTTTGCTATTTGGTTGGATTTTTTTCTAGCTAATTACAGTAAAACTTGTTTAGTGCGAACACAAGTTATTGCGAATTCATGGATATATGGAAAATTTCTTGGATCCCCAGCTATAGATATTTAACGAATTCCTTATACGGACATAATGAATTGCGCTCATTTTCCTTCTGATTTTTTTTTACATATTATAATTTTTTATGCGCCCGGAACGAAAGATCCGAGGCGTATATTGTTTTTGTCCTCTCTGTCTGTCTGTTTGTTTATCTGTTTGTCTGTTTCTCTGCAAACTTTAACCTTCGCCATAACTTTTGAACCATGAATAGTTAAGACTTCATATTCGGTGTGCATGTGCATACTCCACTAATTAAGCTCTTTCAAAAGACATCAAGTTCAATGACTTTGTGACCTTAACTGTGAACTATATGCTAAAAATATTTTTTTTTCTGCAAACTTTAACCTTCGTCATAACTTTTGAACCATGAATAGTTGATACTTCATACTTGGTATGCATACTCCACTAATTAAGTTCAAAAAGACTTTCAAATGACATCAAGGTCAATGACCTTGTGACCTTGACTGTGACCTATATGCTAAAAATAGTTTTTCTGCAAACTTTAACCTTCGTCATAACTTTTGAACCATAAAAGATAGAGACTTCATGTTTGGTATGCATACACCACTGAATAAGCTCTTTTAAATGACACCATGGTGAATGACCTTGTGATCTTGACTGTGACCTATACGCTAATTATAGCTTTTTTGTCGGCAAACTTTAACCTTCACCATAACTTTTGAACTAAGAAAGATAGAGACTTAATATTTGGCATGTATACTCCACTAAATAAGCCCTTCCACATGACACCAAGGTCAATGACCTTGTGACGTTGACTGTGTCCTATATGCTTAAAATAGCTTTTTTGAACCTTCACCATAACTTTTGAACCATGAGAGATAGAGACTTCATATTTGGTATGCATACTTCACTAATCAAGTTCTTTTAAATGACACCAAGATCAATGACCTTGTGACCTTGACTGTGACCTATATGCTAAATTTTTTTTAACTTATTTGCCGCCGGGCGCTTAGTGTTTCACAAACACATCTTGTTTAATTTTAGATAGAAGACATTTTAAGTGACATAATGAGATTTTTGCTCACATTTACTTACACATTCACACTTCCCCTTCTGACTTTAAACAAGCGTGAAATAAAAGAAATATAATCAATGAGATACACGTATTTCAAACAGAGACTTTAAAGACCGGTTCGCAGCAACTGATATTCGCGATGACGAAACTCGCGATAATTTCTCGCACGCGAATAAAAGTTGGTTTACTGTTATCATATAGTTTTTTGTTTTGTTTAAAGCAGGAAAATAGATATTGTTTTGTTTGTACAACAATGAATTTCATCAACCAATTATGTTCCTCCTTAATTTCTGATGAACAGATGTTCAGAAACATCCGAGCCTAAGGTTGTACTGCTCAAGACAGTTGAGTTGAAACAGTGTAATTTCTAGTTGTACAAGTGTTACATTAAAGTTTTAGAACTGAGAGAATTTGAAACTAATTATAATTATCTAGAGTGTTATAGTTAGTTTTAAATTCACTGAATTCAAAATTGTAACACAAGACCTTTCTCATTAACAATTGGAGTTGTCTTCATTGAGTCGTAGTCGCCCGCTTGGCGCAGTGATTAGAGCGTCTGCTCTAGAGTCGCAAAATAAGAAGTCAATCTCCTTACGTCGCGGGTTCGACGAGGAGACCGGTCCTTCGAATGAGACCGTATAAACCGAGGTCCCATTTCGTAGTATGTGCTGGCAAAAAAAAGATCCCTCCCTGCTCAATGGCCCTGAGTGCCAAGTATAGGACAAAATTTGCAGCTCTCCGCCGGCAAGTGGTGGAGTCTCCATATGAATGAAAAATTCTCGAGAGGGACGTTAAACAATATACAATCAATCAATCAATCAATCATGGATTCGTAAACGTTGAATCAATTTTTATTGCTTTAATTTATCACTATGAGTAATGTACAACATTACTCAATGTAGCTTATACTCTCTTTTCGCACATGTACACTAGTAACTTATAATTTGGAAGTTTAATCAACATTCCAGTTTTATAATTAAATAATGAACATTGCTGTGTTCTACAATAACAAAATGTTGATCTAAAGCAAATTTATTTTCTCTCAAAACAATCCATTTAAAATAGTAAAATCTTGTTTTTAAAAAATCCAATTGCTCTTTGCTGTCTTTTGCTTTTCCACTGTATCAAGCCATTTTTTCTTGACTCTACATCCAATGAAATAAAAAGAATTAATTAATTGTCGATATACGTGTAATGAGTAAGCTACATGAAAAATTGTAGAACTGCCACACACATAAAATTTATTTTGGAATTTTTGAAGTACAAATGGACTCAAATGAATTAACAAGATCATTTCGTTTCCAACTTGTTTCTATCTCTCACTTTTTTCAAACAGTTAGTGAAAAGCTTTAAGAATTTTTTTTCAGTACCTTAAAATCACAGATGTTGAACAGGAAAAGTTTCCTCGGCATGAATACATCATCGTCACCTTCATTGTCAAAGACCTCATAGACATCACAAGCTTGGGAAAGAAATTTTAAAATATATACTATTATAGATAGCATTTGTCTGCTTTTCGACAAAACTGTGTCCTGTTTGAAATTTTAAATTTACAAAATGTACAAGATAATATATTAATTTCTTTTTAATTTTGTATGTATTGCCGCCCACACAGCATATGTCGACTTTTCAACAAAAACTGTCATATTTGAAATTGTAAATTTACTAGATGGCAGAAAGTAGAAAATGTACAAGATTATAACTTTCTAATTTTGTATTCATTGCCATCCACTATTCAAATTTACAACATGACACATATCAAAAACATTCCAGATTCAGATTTAATTGAATTCATATAAATTAGGTAAAATATCTTTTGTAATTCCCTGCTGTTGCTTTCGTGTGCTAACGCAAAGACAAAAGATAGGGAAGTTGTCAAAGTCTGCAATACAAGTATGCAATACCTTTCTCTCATCATTTGTCGTAGCCAATGGCTGAAGATTTGGGGTCTCTTGATTTTCTTCAGATACTTTTGTCTGGATGGTTTGAAGATCCTTTTGGATGTCTTCTTCATAATGCACTTTAGATTGCCTTTCTCTCTTGTCTTTTTCTGGGCTCTCTCTGCGTAAAAAGTAAAAGCTTTGCAATAATATTTGATATATTCATTTGTTTTGAATTTTAAAACGTAATAAAAACAGGATATTTCAGCATACTGACTTTAACCTAGATAAAAAAGAAAAATTTTAAATTCTTCATATTTTGTTAAAAGATTTAAAGTAAGAAATCAACACAGGTCATCATGCATTTGTTACATTAAAGTTTTGCAATTTAAGAAATTCAAAACTAATAGTAAATTCTACAAAATTTATTTACGATATAACACATTACCTAAGAATTCGAAAGTCGTCTTTAGTTTCCTTTTTGATGGCCTTCTTTACACTCGACTTCGTCTTTTTGTTGATTGCTCTATCCGTTGCTCTTATTTTCTACAAAATAGTTAGGGGTATACTTGTAGCCAATGTTAATTTTTTTTTCAAATGATCAGATAACATTTTTTTCTCTACCATGTAATTCTTTTTTCCCTATTTTGTTTATCAAAAGAAAATAGTTTAGATTCGTGAGTACTTTTCATCCACGAATAAACATCCTCCATAAGGTAATAGAAGTTAGTTACAAAATCATATTTCTTTCTGTAGGCAAAGGGGAATACACGAAATTCTGCCCCAACGAACCAGTGAAATTCAAGCAATCCACAGAAATTGTCCCTCATTTATTTATGGATTCGACAGTAATTTATTTTGCAATACCTTGTATGTTTTCATTTCTTTCTCCACACCGTCAGTCCACGGGTTATCAAATTTATGCATTTCCAGTTTCTCCCTCTGCAAATTTTAAAAGCGCATATTAAATTACATGTAACTCCAAATTTTTTTTAAAAACTCGAAGAATATTACTATACACTGTTACTTTAACATATGCATCGCACCAAAGGCCTCTAAATTATCATTTGAGTATTTTCATCTTATCCCTCTTCTTCAGCATTATTTTGAAAGAAACCGCCTTATTTCATCATAAAAGAAACCGCCTTATTTCATCATACATATTACTGATTTATATATTTGCTAATGTCTTCGGTTTAACCTATTTGAAATTATTGAAAATTTTCAACCATAACAAATACCAAAAATGTTATCACTAAATCCCCCGCCCACAACGAATAAAAAAGGGAAAGAAACGTAAATCAGAACAAAATCAGTCACCCCTTAATAATTTAATAAAACTGTACTTACCAAATCTTGCAGGGGCTCTTTCAGGGGCTTGTGTTTAAAAATCTGTGCTTCTTCGCTACAAAGAAAAAAAAAAGGATTCAAAACTAACCATCTTTATAAATCAGGAAATAACAATCTACCTGTATATGTGTGACAAAATTAAAAGATTTTGATGTAATTGTAGATTCTACGTACCTGGCAAAATTCTCCCCTCTGTCGGTGATGTCGCTGTTTGTTTTCTGTCCAAAAAGACGTTTCTTAATTTCTCTCTCAATTTCTGCACATTGATCCGTGATATTAATCTCCTATTTGAAAATATCGAGAAAAATAATTTTAAAAAAAAGACGAGAAAAATTATCAACATTTCACTACAACTCCCTATAGTTCCCCAACGAATTAGAAATTGAAAGAAAGAACTCAAAAAAAATCACACCATGCATGACGATATAAACAATGCTTACCTTATCTTTTAGGGGATTGTCTAACATCTCTTCTTCATTTCTACGAGAAAAAACAAGTTTAAATTTAAACACCGTTTTCAGAATACACAATGTAGATAAATTATATACTAGTAAATGACAAAGGATCTGATATAAATGTAAAATCTACCTGACAGTATGCTCCTTTCTGCCGGTAATGTCGCTTTTTTATTTTCCCGAAAAGAGTGGACTTTACTTCTCTTTCAATTTCTGCACATCGCTTTAAAGAGAAAATTCATTAATTAACATAAACTATAATAACTATATTTCCATGTACATGTACGAGGGCTGTTCACTATAAATAATGTCCTCGGTGCTCAGAAAGAAGCAAACGACGCTTTTCAATGATTTAGTCTTCATGATTTTACTTATTAATCTCTTTTAATTCAAACACATGTCCGTAACATTTTTTATCTAATTTCTGATTGATTTTAGAACTCATTTTTGGGTATGACCCCAGTATACTGGAAAATGGCAGATCCAATGATTTTCTGGACTTGTTTTTTTCATTCTGAAAGGTGTTTTTTTTTTTCAAGTTTGGAAATAGAAACAAGTCAAAAGGTCAAAGATCTGGCGAATATTGTTAATGTGAAAAAACATTAACTTTCTGTTTATCCCGAAAACCCCTTCAGGGCGTGCGGGTTTGGACGTTGTCATGAAGAAATTTATGTAGTGGATTCCTGATTCTGGGTCCTTCCTCTAATTAACCTTTCGATTTTTTTGCAAAAAATTGTTTTCTAGACTCCTCCAGATATTAAACCGTCTCCCCGAATACGAATTTGAACAACAATACCACAAATATTTAAGAAAATTGCATATAAATCTGTCTTTGTGCTCTTACATACCTTTGCTTTTGTTAGACTTTCGCAATTTTAATCAATAGATTCATGCTCCAATATTTTGAATATAAAAAAACATGGATAACTACAATTACTGATATTTTAAAATAAGTGTTAAGACTTTCGTACACGCTGTCGTTTTCACTCGTTTTTCAAAATATAGGGTGACCTTTGAGTACCAAGCTTTTTTACTATCAAACGTTTCTTAAAAACAGTGTAAATTACTCCCGATATGATGTCTATCAAATTTGCTTTGTGTCTTAAAGTCAATCATACATCAAATATTATTTGTTGAAATTTGGCAAACAGTACATAAGTTGTTATAATTTTTGTTGGCATGGAGGTTACCCATTTTTGATGTCCATTATATATTTTTTTATCATTGAAATCAACCTGCTCATTTGTCTATAAAAAGGCATTGGTTGTTATAGATGACACATATTTCAGTGAATATTTCTTTTTTAAGTTTTACAGCAGCTTTAATGTAGCCTTTATTTTCACTCTAGTTTACTGATTCTTTACCGTTCATTAATAATGCAGTGTCTCGAATAGCCCTTGTTTCCCAGCTTCTCACGATGAAACTATGTGATGAAAAGTGGTCACATAAACTGTTATAAATTCAGTAAAGATTCAATAATGAGAGAAAGTCAAGTTTAATGTCATATGATATCTGTATTGTATGTCATACAGTCCAGGACATTATTTATTGAACAGCCCTCGTACATTAATTATTGTATCCGTTTTTTTTTTCAACTGCAACATGTAAGTTTTTATGATTTTGGATGGACATTTGAATGTCATATCCTTCGGTTAATAATGCATTTTGCAAGGGGTTTTTTTTGTTTTGTTTTGTTTTGTTTTTGTTTTTTCTTTTTTGTTTTGTTTTGTTTTTGTTTTTTTGTTTGTTTGTTTGTTGTTGTTGTTGTTTTTTTTTGTTTTTTTTTTATTTTTTTTTTTTATTTTTTTTTTTTTTTTTGCACAATTAAAAATTCACTTTATACGAAAAAAAAAAAAACAAGAACTTAAGCTCTAATTTTATCCCATTTTAGATCTCAGCCCTTTTTAAAAATGTATTGAAATACCTCAATTTTTCTCTTATCCTCGACTTTTTCACTTGCAGCGTTGTCGAACTTACAGGTCTCAAATTTCTCCGTCTAAATAAAATTTTAAAACATACCTTCATTCACATCCACTTTAATAGTTGAATCAAATATATTTACAAAGGAGGTACTTTGTATGAACAGTAGATCTTTTTAAAGATAGGTGTGTTTGATTTTTTTTTCTTGTAATATATTCAACAAGTTTACAGTCTCCTTATTCCTCACACAAGTGAAATTTTAGAAAATCTTACGTTGTAAATTATTGTAAAATTATATTTAAAAAATTATCTTAAAGGGGCCCCTTATATAAACTAACCTCCACCCCACCCCCAAAAGAAGAGAATTATGTTACCTCTATATTTTCATATGTGCCATTACCACCATATACTGATTATCGAGTTTAAAAAAGGAAATAACAATTTAAATAAGAATTATTCTACGATTCAAACTTTTTAAATCTCAATAGTAGTATCTGAATACCTCCATTTGTCTTTCATGCTCTTCGACTGCATCGCACCAGTTGTAATCGAATTTTAAAATATTAAGTTTTGTCTCCTGAAAAAAAAAATTAATATAGAATTGTGTAAATGCATATCGGACTGAGCTCATTGACCGGCGTTTCGTCAGACAATGAAAGAAAGGATTAAAGATTTTTTTTAAAATTCTATTTATATATATGTCCGTGATTGTCACTTACCACATCCGTAACGGCACTTTCTCCAAAATCTAGAATTTCGTTCATATCCATTTTCTTATCCGAAATACTATTAATACACCTGTAATAAATAAATAAATAAAGGAATAAAAAAAGGTTATTTTAAAGCAAAAGATGATAAAGGATACAGATTATTGTATTAATTAGATTATAGAATCGCCTGCATTCACAGGGCTTTTACCTTGAAGTTTTGTTGTAGTAACTATTATGACGTTAGATCATTATTACGTTAGTTCACGTGACATAAGTAATGACGTTATAGCTGCATGTATGTATATGCACTATTCCTTGATGTTTTTGTTCTAGATCACATTTACATGTATATTTATTGTTATTTGTTCTGCAGTTTTGCTAACTCTCCTGTCATTCACATTCACAATTTCTTTAGACACAATTTATTCCATTTTTGAAAAAGAATTTTTAAGTGATATATTAAGAGATATTTTCGTTAAATCATATATTTTTTATTCGAATTACAGCTACTGGCATAATACATTCCTTTATTGATGCTTTAAACTTTAGCTTGGTCAAATAAGGTGTTTCTGGGCATAATTTGTAGGAAAACAAGATGAAAAACCATAGTTGAAACTGTCATTTTCAATGGTAAATTAAGAATTTAACCAGTCATGAATATGGGATTTTTTCCATTTTCGACAAAGGCAATGTATCCAGATTGCCTACAGTCTCTCAGAAAACGGTAATTTGTATGTTTTTGACCTCTTCTTTAAAATAATATCAAATTTAATATAGGTATCCGGTTTACTTTTCATACATGTATGATTTCAAATTGAATGTCATGAAAATACCCTATTTCTACATAATTCTGCTAAAGCCGTAAAGTACGGGAAAAAGAAAGTTGAAATTGATTATGACGTCATAATGGATCTATTAGTCTAAAGAGGTAAAAAAAAAAAATTAGTCTAAAGGCATTTACTAGATTTTGACCTTAACATAGGTGCTTGTATATTAGATTATACAGGTACCAATCTTCAGTTTAAAACAAAATGTAAAATTTGTATACTCGGTAAAAAAAATTATACTAATGAAGATTTTAATTTACACCACCCTATTGAAATGGTGTCTTCCCACTTAGCCAAAATTCTGAAAAAAAAGTATAGGTGACTGGTTTTGGCTAGGTGGGAATGGTGTACAGGTAAGAGGAGGGAGAGAACAAAAGAAATTAATTACAGGTGACCTATAGTCTGTTCAGATGAACCCTGGAAAGAAAGCTAATTAATATAATATAAGCAAAATCTGATCATTTTATGAATGGTAATTAACATAAATATTTATTAATAATTCGATACAGATTTTAAATAATTCAAATTAATTAATATAATAGAAAAATATATGTTTTTTTTAAATTTTCATTTACATTTACAAATTTAAATTGTATTTTTTTTTAGTTTATATCTTTTCATTTTTAATCTCTGTGAGTTGATATCATAGCTTGCCTTATTTGAAATGTTTAAGTACTACATGTATCATGTGGTGTATTAGGAAAATAAATTGGTCATGCAAAAGTAAGATACTGGTAATGTTTTTGAAATCTGGAATCTGTACCGTAAATCATGTGTTTAAATTCTAATTCAGCTAATTAAAACAAAAAATCAAATTAATTAAAACAAAAAAATCAAATTAATGGAAATAAAAAGCAATGAAATAAGATGGTTTCCTGATAAAATTAATGTTAAAGCAAATAGTGTTCAATTTCAAAAACACTTATTATAAATAAATTATGCACATACTTATGCGAATACTTGAGATCAGAGTTACATGTAGTCAAAGTTTTTTTTTTTTCTTTTTTTCCGGAAATCAAACATTTGTTCATTTTAGGGTAGGATTTTTACCTTAAGTGCATCTGATACTATGAGAGCAATCGATGTTTTTTTTTCTCAAGCATAAAATGCTGCATTTTTAAAACATTATAAGCATGTCAATCTTTTGTAAATGAATATGGACATGTTTGCATAAAAACTCTACTTATTAAGCAAATTTTTTGTACATTAATCAATTTAATATCAGTTTTGGACACTTTTAATCATTCTTGTTTCGGAATAAAATGTTATCATTTTAAATGTCATAGGTTAATTATAACACACTATGGTTTAAAATTGTATTCCGAAACATGTGCCTGTGTATTGACCTAGTTATATAAGAAATTAATTTATTCACTTGAATTTAAATGCATTTATCTCAATTACAATCATGCATGTTTATGAGTTCTAATAATTAGCATTATTTCTGCAAAATAAATTAAACAGTAAACTCAATTCGAATACTTTTCTTTTTATTCTTTCTATCGATCTTTTTCTTGACCTACTTATTAAAAAAGTGATATTCCCAATACGCTGAATTGTTTTTCTTTTGGACATTTTTTAATTTATTGGAAAAAGAAATTTATCATATCATTTTAAAATAAATTTATTCAAATAAATCATATTCTCCATTATCCTTTTATAACTTGTGCCTTAAAATGCAATTATTTTTTTTTCTTTTTTAAAAATTGAATTGATATCAAGCATTTTAAATAATTAATAAGTATAACTTTATTTTTGATTAGCCCAATATCTAAACAAATATCCATGATATTCATTTATATGATTTATGAACCAGTACAGCACAGGTAAACATTACAGGTAATAAGCCTAAAACAGACGGGAGGTCAACATTACCGCTACATCGCCAAAAATTTCAAATCATTACCGCTACATTTTTTCAGATTTTCGACCGATCATTACCGCTACATTTTTTTAGTCGAAAACAACTCATTACCGCTACATATGGAACCAGCCAGGTATCCAGGTACGGAATATAAGTTCCAATCACGAAGCTTTCACAAAGAATTCAGCACAATGTTTTACAGTTGTCATTCTAAAAAAATTGAATTTTTGGAAATGTTGACAGAATTAAGATACATGGCAATGTTAAATAAAACCTTTAGTTGCTGCCATGTAAGCATGTAAATTGCTTCAAATATTGGAATATATTACTTAGTCCATGATTTGTTGTATCTCACTCTACATATTTTAAGTCGCGTGTGAATGTGGGATTTTGTATTTCAGGGGATACAGGTCTTATGCATGCATATGTTGTACTTTACATCAATCTGTACATGGCTAACGAAATTGACAATGGAGCGGTAATGTATACTTTTATATGTAGCGGTAATGTAACGTTTTTTGTAGCGGTAATGACTATGTAGCGGTAATGCAAATTTTGAAAATGTAGCGGTAATGATACGCACCCAAACAGACTATACACAGGTGACCACTAAGGTGTGAAAAATCCCAATTTTGGCTAGATGGGAATAAGAAATTCAGAATTTTGGCTAAGTGGGAATAAACCATTGAAATCAACCGTAAGAACTCAATTAAGATATATTAAGTATCTCAGTCTTTTTTGTTTATAGCGATTCTCAATTCTACAGAGTAATAAATCCCATTGCAAAATTGTTGTTTGCAAATCATTTTCATGATCAAATCTAAACCTTTCCAATTTGAATTTCCATAGTAATAGAATTTTTAAGAAGACCCCCCCCCCCCTCTTTTGTAGTTGATTATAGTTAATAAAATATATTGTTCGAAAAAAATATTTTGTATACTGATAATAATGATATAAAGAAAAATGGGGGTCATCATATTCATTTAGTAAATAAAACAACATTTGCTAGCACGATGTTAGACGTTTTTCAATGTCAGAGGTTGTAAAATATGCATCAACATAAGAAAAACATACATTTTTTCTTAGATTTTGATTTCAATTACAAAAAAACCCCAATGCAACATATTACATCTGAAATTCCTCTTTAAGGGGTCCTGACCCTCTCCTCTAAATTTCACTATGGAAATTTTAAATTTCTAATATTGATTTTCATGAACACAACAATGACTTTAAAACCAAATACAAAACCTTATACAACGTGGTATAATGCAGGTTACATACAGGGTTTTGTTTTTCTTATTTACAAATTTACATTAGATCTATGATGAATTTGTGAAAAATCTAAAAAAGAAGTTATCCTTCTTAGCAGAGGGATAATGTCCCTTAAATGCTGAAATTAAAAAACTACAGAAATATTATTTACTTTTCTAATTGGTATGGCCATATATACATTCAAATGTTTACAGCTATACAGAGCTTGTAAAACTAAGATGCAAAAAAACTATACATGTACAAATACAGCCAATTAAACGTCTAATGTCTATTGTTACATTCAGCTAAAATTTGTTTTGCCTTACTGTTTGTCTTCAAAATACTTATTTACTTTTTCAAGTAAACATTTTTTTGATGTTACTCGAGGTTTCCCATCGAATTTTTCAGACAAGAGTGTTTTTAAACCACCTCTGGTGTGAGCAAGTTTTAGATGACCTAAGTTTAATCCACTTTCAGCAATCTTTTTACACATTTGCTTTGAAAGTATCTTATCATTGCATAAAACTAACAAGGTGTTTAAGTTTTTATCTACAATTTTGTCAAAAAGGTACTTCTCAACCAAGGTATGCATACTTGAACTGTGGCGTACAAGAACTTCAGTGCACGGTTTTACATGTTGAACAAGTTTTTGAAGAACAAGAACATCATCCTCAGCATTGTGAGCTGCATAGTTTTCATTTAAAAAATATGTAACAAGAAACTCTTGTGAATATTTTTCCAGACCAGGATAAACTTCTCTAAACAGAAGTAGTGTGTCTACTACACCTAATACAACTGGTTCTAAAGCATGAAGAAAATGACAAATTTCAAAATTTCGTAAGACCCTAGGTAAATCAAACCTCAAGAAATTATGTCCTACAAAAATACAAGGCTTTTGATCATCTAACCATGCCAGAAATGATGCCAATGCAAGTTGCAATGAAACGGATGTTACAGGAGTACCATTCAAATGCAAAACATTTCCATGAACAGTCAGTCCAGTGACTTGAGAAGCTGCTGTTGAAATTCGTTGACTAGGTAAGATGTATTTCGAAAACTTGCCATTTTCTGAAACAGCCGCAATCTGAATGATATCACACGTTTTATTAAGAGATGTTGTTTCGATGTCACAATACACAAAGGTATATTTCTTTGGTAATATACATGGAGTGACAGTTGGTACAATGCTTGGAGCAGGTATTTCTTTGACAAACTCGCCGTCAGATTGTGTCAAATCAACAGATGACTGATAAGTTACTCCTTCCCGAATTTGAGAAGCGGAATTCATGGTACTGTTTTTTAATTTTCTTTCAAGTTTTCTTTTTTTGAATTCTCTTGTATTTTCATACGCGAGTCTGCGTTTGCGCGTTTTGTCTTTTTTTTCTGCAAGTTTTTGAAAAACTCGTCCAGGCGAAACACCCACCAGTTCGTTAACTTTGTTGACGTATGTTGAGCCCATGTTTTTCTCTGCTACTGCACAACTAACTCTATTTTGCAAACTAGATGATGAAGAATAGTGCAGTCTTTTGGGGGCTTTTGCAGCAATTGAATTATTGAATGATTCAACATCTCTAGTAGATGCAGCAGGGGAAATCTTGTGAGCATTATTGATAAATGTTTCAAATATAATGTTCAGGTCATTTTTTAATTCATCACCCTGTAGATCTTTTCCAGATGGAAGGGACTTGTGGCGGAACTCTTCAGGATTAGTTTTATAAGTACACCATTTTGAGTCACACTGGTCATGCTCTCCAAAAGCATGTGGCACTATTTGCTTTAGGTTTTTCTTTAATGCTTCTGTATCATTTTTATTTTGTACAATAGCGTAAGAGAAGCATTTTTGAAAATACTTGACACAATTGTTGTTGAAATTCTTGTGTTTCTTTTGTAGTTGGTATAAACTGTTACCAAGATGCTTTTTAGTGTGACTAATGTCACTCCATTTGATCACCGGATGTGGAATTTCTTCATTGATTCGTGCCATTGTTGTGCAGTCGTCATCCATAACTAACACTGATACTTCAACATTTTCTTTTTCAATTTTGTTCACTAATTCAACTGCAACGTTACTCTCCATTGCTTTTGACGAGCCCTCCCAATTTTTACAGCACTTATGTTCTGGAGGAGTTTTCCCCATATTTGTATGAAAGGAACATTTGCGACAATCCTTTGATCGAACACCAAAGCCACATATTTTCCCGGACTTGTTGCCGATTAATGTTCCCACTCCAGATTTACTGTTATAGGCCCTTCCTGACCCACGCTTCTGCCATCCCATGTCGTACTTAAACTCCCCAGAGCTGCGAGCCTGCTGACCGTCATTGGATTCATTTACACTGGAAACAAGAAAACTCATTTTAAGACTCGTAAGAAATAATGTATACCGGTATATATTTTATAGCAAAAGTATAAGAGTGAGTCATCAATTATTCATAACAGCACTTCCTTTTTTTTTATAAATTGTGCTTATCCTAGCTCACTTTAGCATGTAATCAAATCTGGCCTAAGGGTTATATATAAACCAGCCCCAATTTGGACCTATCAGTGTGAAGTTGATCTTTGACCTACAGAACTTGAAACAGTATGGAAACCTGTCATTTCAGTGTGTTATAGAGGATGGAGATGATGGACACTTTGGCATAACATGATCTTTTGGGTATATAAAAACCATATAGCATGTACCTTCTTGCTGATACATTGCCCTGTATTTCCTCCAATAAGGCCTCACTGCATGACTGCTGGGCAACAGATTGGATATGTGGCTCCACTTCACACTCACGGGCTTTCATAGTTCTATGGTGCATACCCTCTATCTCTATGGAAGACATAAAGTTGGTGACCTGTGTGTGCCCGGATCCACTATGAAGCATACCTGTATAATAATTTAAGGTCACTTTATATATATCTAATCGTATGTCAGTCTAATAACAACACATATGAAGAATGTTAAAAAATCAAAAACAACAAATTACTGGTAGAAATTATGGCTGATAATGATATAAAGGAATATTAAAGTTTTCTTATGATAGGAAAGCAATTACATATTTTCAAATCAAACAATTAAATTCAATATAGCTTTTAAATAATTGTTTCTATCAAAGCTACATTTATAAAAGTGATAAAAGAGTCATTATTCTAATCTAGTAGGCAAGCTGTTAGAAATATATCAATGAAATATAGGTTTTACATGTAGCACAGAAGGAGTGCAAAGGGTTACAAAATTGTTAGTACCAAGCACCACAAAAGGAGGGTATAAAGCGTGACATTCTTGTCTAAGTAGCTATTACCCAGTATACCGGTAATTTTACAACAGATAGATGTATGGTTAGCACTACTATAAATAGTGGTAGAACTACTACAAGCTTACGGTTTTACTTACTTCAGCTGCAATAAGGTACATACAAGAAAAAGGTAAAACAGAATAATAAATAAACAAGTAAATTCTTCTTAGCAAGATAAAGTTTGCCCATATTTTCAGTTGCTAATCATGACAGTGCCCCACCCTCTACTATAATGATCAATTGTTGCTAAATGTCTGTCAATCAACGTATTCAATTTTATCACATAAAATTTTTATTGTTATTTTTATATTTAAATATTGACTATAATGGTATATAAACTATCAATACCTAAAGCTGCCTTTGTGTTTATGTCAAACACAGCAGGTCCGCGTTTATTAACTCTGTGTGACTTGCCAGTTGTTACTTCATTCAGAACACCGCACTCACAGGTAATAGTCAGGTTTGAAGCAAACCCTTGACGCCTTTCATTTACGATGTTATTTAAAGTCAGTGTGTGCCCACAATCCCAACAGTTCATTTGTTTCGCCATATGATCCAACTCAACGATTCGCCTCCCTTTTCTCCATGATTCATCATTCGATTCACATGTGTGCCCTTCTGTTTGTGCAACATTTTGAGTCCTGAAAGTAAACAACAACCTAGTCTTAGTAATAAAATTTATAAATTTATAAATCAATATTTGTATAAATACCCAAGTTGTGTTTTGTTTACTGCTGAATATCAAAAACATAAGCTTTATATTTAGTCTGCAAGTTCGACCCAGATGCAAATTTTGAACCAGGTCTGCGAATTACTGTGATTAGTAATCTAATTCACATACTGTCAAATGTCAATAGCTACTCAATAGCCTCATTTTGTAAGACAAAAGATCAAATGCATCACTGTTGCTGATAAAAGCGCTGATAAAGTAATCGATATGAAAGGACAAAAAATGTGTAATTATTATATCAATGTATACTTACACAGTAGCCTCACGTATCTTCATCATGTTTAATCTTCTATTCATTGTACCCTTTTTCACAAATCTCCCCCCAACTCGATCGCGATCAGTCATTTTCAACATGTTTCGACCGCTTGACAGACGATGTCAGATCTCTACGGCGCCATCTTTGTGTGTCCTGGTAAAATGAGGCACCTTTTTACAACCGGGCACATTTTATTTTTTTTCAAATTTCTTACAAAATACCTATATAATTGAACTGAAATTTTCAGATAAATTAAAATTTTATTATCTTATTCTTTTTTTATAAAAACAAAGAAAATGATATGCCTTTCATAAATTATAATTGTCCTTTGGCCCGGCCAGCATTTGCCACCTGATTTTACCAACATTCCTTCCCATTTTACCAGACTCCTTCGATTGAAGAGCTTCGATTGCGCAGAAAGATGCGCACAAAAAAATCCCGCAAACGTCTTTAAGGTAGGAAAACTTGATACTTACGTTTCACTTCTGTGTCTCTGTTTGGTAGTAAAGGTAAGTTTATTGTAACGTCATACCGGTAGTTCATCGTCAAACTCTATGTGACGTAACTAAGTTTTTTCCTTGAAATTTTCAACTCATCTTACTCTAACCATAATTAAAATAGAACTTAGTAGTCCCGTATAAGGGTGATATGGGTTTCCTCTTCGTCTGTCCGTCCGTCTGTTTAGCTGTCCGTTCATCTGGCTAGCTGTCCGTCTCTAGAGCTGTTTGTGGGTCTTGATGAGTTATAAAATGAAATACGGATCAAGTTTAGTTTTTGTTCCGCTTTTAACAACTTGCTATTACCTTTTGACCTGATTCCCTACCAAGTTATGTATATATTTTTCTTATTTTTGTCATTTTAAATAAATGACATGTTTCATCTCAACAATGGTGTTCATTGATCATAATTTACCAAAAAAAAAAAAAAAAAGAAAAACAGAGCTGAGGTGAGATTGTGCAGCATGAGGAAACATAAACGTTTTGGGGAATGACGACCTTTATAGTTTTCAATGAACGCTTGCAGATATTGAGCTGATTCTACGTGTTCTTTGATTTGTTATAAGAAATCAAGTTGTATTATGTTCCATTTCAATGAAATTTTTATGAATTATTACATTTTCAAAATTTAACGGAAACCAGATTACACGTGCTGGTAGGGGACTGATATTGTTCATGCAAAACTCTCACAATGTTTTTCACGGGTTTTGACCCTAGTTACACATACAAACACACATAATTCAATTCTTTAATCCTTTTAATCTTTTTTTTTTTCATTTTTTACAGATATGAAGATAACTGATTTTAGTCCATCTGTACTCGGATGATGAACTTGTGCATACAAGAATCCTTCCGTATATTAAAAGCACATTTTAAAAGAACATATCTCCTGGTTGTATTTTGTTGCCGTGTGTATAAATAAGTTCTGTTGCCAGTCACAAGTCGTCATTTTTCACAAACATGTAACAACAAATATGTTGTAACTTGCAAATAAATCGCCATATCGTCGTCAATCATATATATCAATTATTTTGATCAAATTAAAAAAAAACATTATTATCAGGAATTAAAAATAAAGGTTAATTCTTTTAATACCTTTGCAAAAGCTCGTCTAAAAGCAAGACATTTGATAAAAAGCATCAGCTTTGCAACTTTGAAAAGTTTGAATATTATTGCATTAAAAGAAACCAATACTCTCCCATGTATAACATTAACTAAGTCTACTCGAGCTCAGCTTCCATTCGCAACGTCCTGGGACTTCCGACAAGCGGAAAAACTTCGCCGAAAGACCGAGAAACGCGATTGGCTCAGTCTCAGGAATTTTAACTTCCTGAATGTTCATTATACCCCCCGCTTGAAAAGCGGGAGGGTATATAGTAATCGTTAATTCCGTCCGTCCGTCTGTACGTCCGTCCGTCCGTCTGTTACGCTTGGGGTACCCATCTCTTATCCGCAACTCCTCCCATACCACTGAAGGAAATTTAATGAAACTTTCACAGAATCTTTATTACAAATTGCCATTGTGCACCTCTTATTTTACTTTTTGATCTGACGTATATTTAGGATTTTCCAGAGCAAAACATGGACACTGCCATTAAATTCATATGGGAGGCGGGGGGTATCATTTAGTGAGCTCATTGCTCACAGTACCTCTAGTTGGATACTGATCTGAGTAGTGGTTGTTTCACTACAGTTCGTTGAATATTGGGTCCACGTTGAGTATTGTATTCGATGTGAAAAGAGTTAATTATAAACTTTAAACAAATAATTATATCTTAATTTTTTTAAAGTTGGATGTTTATAATTTTAAGAATCGGGATAATTGCTTTTTTTTTCGGAAATTGCTCGTGAATGTTTAATTATGTTCTGGGGTGTTTACGTTTAATATTTTCCTTTAATTCGTTTTTTTCTTTGGCCTATTACTAAGCATATCAATTTCTCGTACGCGAATTGGGGGCAGCATAGATATGTTCTTCTTAGAATTTTTAAAATTTTATAATAAATTGTGGTGTATTTAGCGTGTGCATTGATTTTCCAGCTATTTTGCGAAGATTAAATAAAGGTATTCGATTTTCCACAGGCACCTGAAGTATGGATAATACCACCCCCCCCTTTTTTTAAAGAAAAAAAAATGTAAGAGTGTATAATATCTCAAAAATATATAATTTCCCCGTCGAACACATCTATATGTCGTTATATGCAAGCAGATTGTACTTTTTTCTCACGTTTAAAGAATGGCCCTATTCGGTATATTTTATTATACCGAAAAGAGCCATTCTTTAAACGTGAGAAAAAGTACAATCTGCTTGCATATAACGACATATAGATGTGTTTGACGGTGAAATTATATATTTTTGAGATATTGTACACTCTTACTTTTTTTTTTATTAAAAAAAGGGGGGGGGGTATTATCCATACTTCAGGTGCGTGGATTTTCTAAATGTAACATTATCAATCGACATTTTAAGAACGGCATTTAGCGAGGCACTTTTTTAACAGAAGCCTCTTTTCACCCAAGTCGCTAAAAATGAAATGTTTAAATTCTGTATTCCTCTATTTTGTCAACCTTGTATAAACTCAGGAAAAAATCAAATATTAGCTGTAAGTAGTATGTACAATATGATCTTTATTTTTTAGACGTTCATTTAAGATAAAAATGTTTCAAGATATATATTTAGCAAATTCCATGAAATACAAAGTAAAAAGTCAAAACACGCTAAAAACGATACAAAGGCACATCACTCATGAAATGAAGCAGAAAAAATAGGTACTATAAAATGTCAAAGTGGATTGTAAAATCTGAGTCTTTTATTTTCTTTAACAGAATTATGCAAATTTAATTTCGCTGATCTGAACCGAACCATCGATGTGTAACTCGTCGTACTTTTCTATTGGGTACAGTCTGGCGGCGAAGGTAATGTTAGGGTTAGGTTGCTGATTGATAAATACCTGAAAGAAAAGAAATAAAAACCAACATCAATACTGTGTGTATAAGTCACGGTTAATGTAGACCTCGTTCACTATAAGTTGATTTTAGCCCAAGAAAGTAGAGCTTCCATTATTTTGATGCCAAAGCTATACAACTATAGAACTGAAATTGGCCTTCTTATAGCAGAATTATAAAGAATTTCTAATTCAGATTTATCATATGAGTTTTAATTTAAGGTTTTCCTGATACTGATATCATTTATTTATTGCACTTCCCCATAATAGTTTATTTTAACATGAACATATTGTAAAATTTTATGAATTTGGTTGTAGATCAATATCATAATTAAAAGAATGCTACATGGTTGTCATTTAACGCGATGATACATGTCTGTCATTACAAATGAAGCTATTTTCTGTGTAACATATCATTTACATGATAACAATGACATTGATAAATAATCACAGAATTCAAACATTAGCATAATATATAACCATTTGCATTACCAAGTATTGGTTTGGCTCCACGTGTATACAGAGCTCGAAATGTTGTCCGGGTTGGAACATACTTCCGTCGTGCCTCTCTTCCGGTCCCCATCCATTTTGGTTATGGTTCAGGACCACACAGCCTTGACTGGGACGAGGGTTAAAGTGGAGGCCGTATTCATCCCCACATTTAAGGTTCACTGAAAATCTGCAACCATGATTTAAATTTTCATTTATCATCTTATATAGTTATTTCATATTTGATTCTATATTATTATTTCAATGTAAAACTTAGATTCCCTGTTGTGACCCCGCCCTACCCCCGGAGGTCATGATTTGAACAATTTAGAATATACACTACCCCAGAATGCTTCCAAATAAGTTCCAGCTTTCTGGCCCAGTGGTTCTTGAGAAGATTTTTTAATGACTCCATTCCAATTTGTCTTTTCATGATTATCTCCCCTTTTAAAAGGACTTGGTCCTTTATTTTTACAATTTAACACACACACACACACCCTTGCCCAAGGATGCTTTGTACCAAGTTTAGTTAAAATTGACCCTGTGATTCTTGAGAAAAAGTTGAAAATGTGAAAAGTGTACCGACTGCGGACAACGGTGATCAGGAAAGCTCACTTGAGCTTTCAGCTCATGTGGGCTAAAAATGTAGGTTATAAATAATTTTAAAATGGTTATGAAATTTGAATACTATAACATACCTGTCATCTGCGGTGACCATGCCTTTGATGATGATTGATCTCCCTGGAACAACTCCGCCAGGAACACGACCCCTGAATGGCATGGGCTGCAATGTACATCACACAAATATAGTTTAATATTTCCATTTCTAAATTTTTTCTCTATAATAACCCTTTGAAATTAAGCGGAGTTGATTTCCTGATAATTCTGCCGGAATGTAAATTAGGCAGGTCGATAGGTCAGCAGCTAAGGAGGCCTAATACGCATGCAAATCTCGTGCGCATCTGTCTCTGTGTCTGACGCTAAAGAGGCCAAATATGCATGTAAATCTCGTGCGGCTGCCTTTGTGTTTGACGTCAGTGTGCGAGGACTATTGAAATTGGCATAGAAGTCCTCGTGTAATTTAAATCGATTAGTCTACATCTTAATGTCTAAATCTACAATTTTATTTCACAATGAAATGGAAATATAAGGAATCACTGTCTAGTTTCGAGAGTATGCCAGGGACATCAACAATAGTGGAAAACATGGGATAATTTTAGCATAACGGGCTTCGCCCGTTATGCAAATTATCCCATGTTTCCCACTATTGTTGATGCCCTGGCATACTCTCGAAACTAGACAGTGATTCCTTAAATACATTCGAGCCTTATTTGAAAGTTTTCTGTATTTGTCCTTATCAGGAAAAAGATGAAACTGGAGAATTACTTTTAAAAATGCATGTATAATCAACGATTAAATTATACTGCGACCTTGATAAAAATTCTGAGGGGAGAGGAACAAGAGCGGGAGATTTATTGTAGGAAGCGATGTCGGAAGAAAATGTCATGTTAGTTTGATTCAATGCATTGATGGTTGAATTAGAAAAAAGATTTCAATCGGTTTTTAACGTGTTTATATAACTTAAACCAGCCCGTCTGTCTGTTTGTCTTCATTCTTATTCCAATATTATGATCAATTCGAGTCTCTATATATCGTGATTTGTTAATACACGCTGTACCAACTTCTATTTCTTTCTTCATCAGATTTTAAGATAAATATTACCCAAAAAATAATAATATGTATAATGTATTCAAATGAAGAATTTGATTCATTACTTGAGGTGAAATGTAGGTCTATTGAGATATTCAATTTGCAAATGTTTTAATTCCCGGGAAGGCATTTTAAAAAGTAGAACATAAAAAAAAGAGCAAGTATATGCAGTCTTTTACATTTGGACAACAAATAAGGCTAAAAAGAAAGTAAGTGATTTTTACACGGTACAGAATACTGTGTAATATTTCTGTTATAGTATATATAGTGCCAATAATAGTTTTCAATACTAGATGTACCAGCACCAAAGACAAACTTCACACTCAATCCGTCATGTGAAGCAATAACGAAAAGTAATAATTTTGTATGCAATGTTATATTGAATGAATTCATCATATTTCCATTTCTAAATTTTTTCTCTATAATAACCCTTTGAAATTAAGCGGAGTTGATTTCCTGATAATTCTGCCGGAATGTAAATTAGGCAGGTCGATAGGTCAGCAGCTAAGGAGGCCTAATACGCATGCAAATCTCGTGCGCATCTGTCTCTGTGTCTGACGCTAAAGAGGCCAAATATGCATGTAAATCTCGTGCGGCTGCCTTTGTGTTTGACGTCAGTGTGCGAGGACTATTGAAATTGGCATAGAAGTCCTCGTGTAATTTAAATCGATTAGTCTACATCTTAATGTCTAAATCTACAATTTTATTTCACAATGAAATGGAAATATAAGGAATCACT